GCGGCGTGACCATCTTCCCTGGGGGGTGATTTCTCACTTTCTGTCTCTCTGTCTGTCTCTGTCTGTCGGGCGAGCGCATGCGCCCTATAGCGAAAACCTCACAAAAAAAAAAAAAAGTAAAATGAATTGAGTTTCAAAGCAAAAAAAAAAAAAAAGAAAGAAAGAAAGAAAGAAAGAAAGAAATATCCCAGACAATGCACTTTCATGAGTGGCTCCTTTTGTGAATTTTATTGAAGACATAGTGTTAGTCATGAGTACTTCAGGGACACATGTTGGAAAGCTGAATAATTCCCCTCTCTAGCTGTTGGAAAAAGCATCTCTTTGAAAAACCTAAAAAGATACTTTTTAAACTTTTGTTAGCTATGATTATGGCTCGCAAAATAACAATCTCTTTTGCCTTGACAAACGGACATTTACTCATACCTCAAGAATCCTGGGCCACGAGCTGAGGCTCGATAAATGACAAAAAGGACAGACCTGAATTGGGAAAAAGAGAAGTTCCTTAAGTATACAAACTAAAAAGGGAAATCAAGAGAATGGGAAAACACGGAGCCAGTAGGTGGCAAGGTGGTTGAGGTGCTGGACTCTTACATGGCCAACCATGATTCAAGTCCTAGATTTGGCAGTTTGCTTTCACTTCCCCCTCCTCTCTGTCTCTCTCTCTCTCTGGTGAGCCCACATGCCCTAGAGCAAATTAAATAATAATACATAAAATAAAAAATTTTAAAAATGAGAATGGGAAAACAACAGTAGGATGAACAGGGACTGAGATGCAACCATTCCTAGACACTAGAGTTGGCCTGTTTCACAAGGGAGCTGAAGGTACACTGCTCAGAGCCTGCTGGTGCCGTGAGAGACTTCAAAGCTGAGAATAAAGTTATAGTTCTGGCGGCTTTCCTTTCAGAGCCAGAGAGACAACAATAGCAAGTGGAAATAAGTAGTATCCAGACAGCCATCTCAAAATGATCTTTACTTAATTGATCTGATTTTAAAATGTCCATTTCTTTTCTAAAAGAAAAGATTTAAAAATAAACCTTGAGCTTCTCATTTTCCTTGGATCCCTCTGGCAACGGCCTGGTGCCAGAGGTATTTAAGGATGGGCACTTTGAACGCTGTTTAGGCTTACTGGAATACACAGGGCAGATGAACTCTCATTAAAAGGGAAAGGAATAAGCTCAAACTCCCAAAGTAATGAGAACTAAATGCTATGAACATGTTTTTTAAAACATACTGCAATATGGTTAGCAATGGGCCAAGAGTGGTCAAAATAGTTATGAAAATAGTACGACCTTTATAAATTTATATGGCATTCTTTTAGTTGATAGAAATGTTTCATTTGAGGGTAAATGTAGGACAGAGAGAAACTATGTTCCAAATGCTTTGGAGTATCTGCTTCCAAATTACTGAAGTTTTAATTTCAAAAAATAAAAGAACTGGACCCAGCAAATGGTGTAGTGGTTATGGTGTTGTACTCCCTCTTAATCAACTGCAGTTCAAGCCCTGGACCTAGTGGCTTAAAACTCACACCAGGTAGGTGTGTGTGCATGCCCAAAATCCTGAGAGGAGAATGGAGGAGAAGGGATTGCAGTGTGGCCATTCCCCTCCAGGGTGATTTCTTGCTCTCTGTCTCTGTGTCTTTTTCCTGTCTCTCCGGTGAGCATATGCTCCCTATAGCAAAAATCTCTCTTAAAAAAAAAAAGTAAATAAATAAAAGAATAATCAGAAGACATCCAGGCTACAAAAGAAAAAAGAAAATTGAATACTGACCTCATGGAGAAATGGTGTGTTTGAGGGTAGATATTTCCCCCCAAAATATTAGTCAAATACAGTCTTCAAGAACCTTCTTTGTGTTGAGGAGAAAAATAGATTTCTTTTCAGAGGAAATTTTGGCTCGCTTCATTAAGCAAGATCTGTGGGACTCTCTTAGATAATAATATCAATGATTAACTTGGAAAATTTGGACTAGTGCCTACAAACAATGGCTACATGGGTAATTTACCAAGCAAATGATGACTTTTGTTATTAAACACTTTTAGATGGTGCAAAGTCCTTCGAAGATACTGAAAGGAAATTGCCTATATCATAAGATTGAACTCAAATCCTACTCACTGAATATGTAGGGGAATCATTCCAGAAAGCACTAACCAGTATTACCAGCCTAGGACTAAAGTTACAACACCAATAATGTCATTATGCAATTTATGTAAGCCTGTCTTCCAGGAGTTCAGGACACATGATAGGCATTTTAAAGCCCTTCTGCTATCACTTATATTTTTATATTTCAGCACCCAAGATGACCACTTGTTTCAAGGCTGTGCCAGGTTTCAAACAAATCCTGCCTAAATCATTGTCAAAAGAAGTAAGCAAGGTTAAGTAATGAATTTTTTTAAAATGAAATATCCCTAGAGTTGAATGCCCGGACTCCTCTACTTATTGGTGATGCACATGATCAAACTTGCTGCTATTTTTAAAAATTAAGTTTAAAATGTAGTTATTTTCATAATCAAACCATTTACACATGCTCTAAAACATGTGATACTTGAGGAAATGGAAGGTTTTGAGAAATTACATGAAAATACCATACCTGAAAAAGGTAACTTCTTACAAATCCCATTTCTAACCCTGCTTCCATCTTGCTAGGCCTGTATCTTCAATCACTCTTTTGAATCTGGAAAATACAATATTAAAAAGATTTTGAAGTGAATCAAGACTTTTTATCTGGTTTTTTTTTTTTTTTGGTTGTTGTTGTTAGTTTCTTTTTGTCCCCAGTCCTCCCGTAAATCTAAATTGAAAGTAACAAAAATAAAAAAGATCATCAAAAGTGGAAACCAAAGTATTTCTAAAAAAATATTGGGAAGTATTACACTGACGTCATTTCTAGAACCACACACGATACGAAGCTTCTGTAAATAAGTAACTTGCACATTTTTACTGGAATTTCCCTGGCTACTGACACATCTTGAGGATAATTTTACCAGAAAAAAAAAATAAAAAAGATCAAATAGGAATGTGAAGTCTCAGAATACGTACAAAGTTCAATATTGGATACCAAACCACTCACTTGTTGATAATGATCAAACAACATGGCCAATTCTGCAGTTCAAGTCCCAGCCTTAGTGGCTTGAAAATCATACCAGGCGCATGTTCATGTGTGCCCAAAATGCTGAGGGCAGAGTGGAGGAGAAGGGACTGTGGAGTGACCATTCTTCCTGGGGGGTGATTTCTCTTTCTCTCTCTCTCTCTGCCTGTTTCCTCTAGGCAAGTGCACATACCCTATATAAAGACTAAGGGGCGGTGGGGAGAAGCTAAAAATAATTAAGACTGGCTAAGTTCTAAGTGTTGGGCAGCAATCAGCCCACATGTCATTGAGACGGATTCAGCTTTCTGACTCTGGAGTGATTGGAGAGTCATGATTTCCCTGCTGGGGGACATGCCGTTAAAGGAAGTACACATCTGACCGTGGAGGGTCCTGGGTGCAGCCCTTCCACCACAGCAGGACCCTGGCTCAAGTTCTATGTGCTTCCACTGGCCATGAGACAGGGTTCTTTTACTAATGGAAGGAGAACTCACTGAGGGCTACTTGTCAAGTGGAAAATTTACTTAAGTTCTTTCTTTTTTTTTTTTGCTGTAGGGCGCGTGCGCTCGCCAGGCAGACAGAGAAAAACAGAGAGACAGAAAGCGAGAAATCATTCCCCAGGGGGGATGGCCACGCCGCAATCCCTTCTCCTCTGTTCTCCTCTCAGGATCTTGGGCACACACACACACGTGCCCGACGTGAGTTTTAAGTCACCGGGTCCGGGATGCGAACTGTGGTCAACTACGTGGGAGTCCAGCTTCATAGCCATTACGCTAACTGCTGGTCCCCAAATTTACTTATGTTCTGCCGGCTGTGAACTTGAACACCAAACTCATGATGATGTCATCAGAACGACACCCACAGACAGATTTTCTACTCTCACCTTTTTTATATACACAGAGAGAAAGACTTTTGCTATAGGGTGCATGCACTCACCAGAAAAACAGAGACAGAGAGAGACAGAAAGAGAAAAATCACCCCCCCAGGGCATGGCCGCTCTGCCATTCCTTCTCCTCCATTCTCCTCTTGGGATCTTGGACATGCATACACACATGACTGGTGTGAGTTTTAAGCCACTGAATCGAAGACTCAAACTGTGGACGACTACGTGGGAGTCCAGCGAAGTAAGGCCACCTGCTGGTACTCTCTCACTGTTTTCTAAAAGCGATGTACCTCCTGTAAAGGACCTCAGTGGCCCTCCTTTGTCCTGAATAGATGGGGCGATTCTATTGGACATTTTTTGATAAAGTAAGTAGAGAAAGGCAGAGAGAATAAAAGAAAAGAGAGACAAAGAAAGAAAAGACGAAAGAAGGAAATAAGGAAGGGAGAGAGGATGGGGAGAAAGGAGGGAAGCTCACGCAAATCCACCCTTTGGCATTCTCCCAGATACCCATCACGAAGCAGGGGAGACAGTTAGTCTTTGGTCTCCCAATGGCTTTTCAGATTTCTAAACAGCTATTCTCTCCCCCTCTGGAGCTCTTTTCTTCCCCCCAAAAGATCCACTCATCTCAACCAAAGAGGTACATCCAAGAAGTGCTACTCAAAGAGTAATTCATTGGAGCCATGGGCCATGCCATGCTTTATCCAGCTGTGACGTGGCCATAAGGAACAGCATAGCACAGTGTAAGGGCATCTTTCTACAGTACAGAATTTTGCACCTAGGTAAATTATTATTTTTTAAAGAATTATTTCATTTGACTTTATTTATTTATTTATTTATTTGACCAGAGAGGGACAGAGAGACAGAGAGAGAGAAAGTGAGAAAATAAGCCAACAGGTTTGGGACTTGAACTATGGTCAGCCATGTGGGAATCCATCCCTTAACCACCATGCCACCTGGCGGTCCCAGGTAAATTATATTTTACTCGGGAAAAACTGACCTGAAGAGAGTAGGGGAGGGAGGGGATTGGCAGAGTGCATGTGGCAATGCCATGGTTTTCATGTTCTTTTCAGGCAAAGGGCACATTAGAAATTGATATTTATAATATTCTAGCCACACCATGTCCACTTTGGAAATATGTATTAGATGACAAATGACCAATGAAAGTGTGTAGGTGGATTAAAAAAAAAAAAGACTTGAGAAATAGCATGATAGAATAAAATAGACTAGATGAAAACCAAAGATGTCCAGAGTATGTGAGTAGTAATTTTACTTTTTGGATAATTCAAAACAAACAAACAAAAAATCTTAAACCCACTTAATGTTCACTTGCAACAGACGTCAATGGAGACCAACCATTTAAGGGGGAGAAACGGGTGAATTTAAATTGACTTTAGATGGCTTTGCCCTTAACAAACGCTTTTGTATGTAACTGGCTTGGGGGGCTACTTTCACTTTTGGAAGTCCTATGTTGGCTCAGGGTGACAATTCTCCCTCTTTTTAAAAATGTGAACAATGATGCCTGTCTACAACTTCCTTTCCAATGCTAGTGTTAATAAAGCAGGGAAAG